TTTGAGGGCATTTATGCCCAAAGGATTTTGATTTTGTTTGTGCTACTTATTTTGTTAGGGGGGGGAAAAAAATAACCCCTTTTACAAACCTTTTGGCTTTATGTTCTCCCACCATGCCAAAATAGATGGTTTTTAAATATGAGACACAGCCACCCGTGTGGTGATGGCCAGAGGGAAAGGGGTGGGGGTTGGGTGAAGGCAGACAAAGCGGGGGGGGGGGGGGGGGGGGGAAGACATCAGTAATAGTGTAATAGTGTCAATAAGAAAAAAGGAGAATTACATGGGGTTCACAATATTGCGGGGCGCGGGGGGTAGGGAAGAAGAAATGAAAGAGAAAGTTCTGACTGCTAGAAGCAGCCAAATAAAAGGAACATCTGTGCTAATAAATAGCTGGGTGATCTTGGGTTTATAATGGGGATTACATGATTTTAAGTAGCACTCCAGTCCTCTAAACCCAAGTTTATTTCCATGAATTAAAATAGTCCAGAGAGAAATTTGGACAGAAATTCTTAGAGTTAGAAGTTATCTTTCTGGGCAGTTGGCCCATTTCATTTACAGCAGCAAATTTGGGAGGTCACTTGTTAGTGTTAGAAATGAGACCAAATTCACAACTTTTGCTCAAAGATCATTATAATTTATTTACTGTGCTGCTTTTTCTAACTCTATGTTATTCTCAATTTAATGGCTGTCCTAATATATGTGGCGAAAATGTTAATTTTTATCTGGTTATGAATGAGGATACATCTGGGCAGCTCCTAGCTCCTATGGTTTGTTTTTAATAATCTGAAAAGCCCCCTTTAATATTTAATATTTAACTGTAATTTTTAAGTTAGCATATCTATTTCTTTATTACTATTTTCTCTTTTTTAATTTTTTTTATTTTTAGAGAGAGAGGAAGTGAGAGGGAGGGATTGAGCAATAGAAACATCAATGATAGAGAACATCATCCACTGGCTGCCTCCTGCATGGCCCCTACTGGAGATCGAGCCTGCAGCTGAAGTACATGCCCTTGACCAGAATCAAACCTGGCACCCTTCAGTCCACAGGCCAAGGTTCTATCCACTGAGTAAAACCGGCTAGCACTCTTCATTACTATTTTCTAAATCTCTATAATTTGGTGATACATGTTAATGTGCTTTTTTTCAAGTATAATTTCACTTTGTAGTCATATCATTTTTAGTTTATTGTTATTATTGGCTTATAAAAACTGGTATTTGCAATATCAATTTACTAAACAGCTCAAAATTTGTTGGCATGCTTTTTTATATCCTTTCCCAACTAAGGTCATTCCAAAATTTGTTGGCACGCTTTTTATATCATTTTCCAACTAGGGCATATAATATTTTCCTTTATTATATTTTCCCAATTGGCTACATAGCCCTCTACCATTACCTTTCCATTTATAACAATTCAGTCTCATCCAAGCTAAAGGAATGCCAAGCAATATTATAAAAATAAAATTCCAGAATAAAATAAACTCAGTTGCATTTTGTACATGTAAGTAATGTGTGCACATTACTGCTATACCTTTCTTTTTAAAAAATAATATACTGTATAAGTATAGTGGCCTCAAATTCTTTCCATCCATGGCCTACCTAAAGTCACAACCTGTCTCTTCCCCCTCACAATTCCCTTTTCTTGCTCTACTTTTTTTCCATTACATTGATCACTTTCTAAAATATGTAGTATTTTTTTTATTTATTGTGATTGTGGCTTTTTATTTTTCATTCTTCCTATACTTCTGCTTATATGTAAGCTCCATGAGGGCCAGTTCCATGTGATTACAATAGTGCTGGGCTCTGCTGGGTCAGTGATGTCTGTTGGCTGCCTGCTATGTTTAAAGCACTGGGCTAATCTGGTAAAGCTCTCAAGATGAATAAATTTCAGATATGTTCAATAAGCTTGTCCTTTATAATAGCACAACAGCAAGACACCAACAATGATAGCACACCTGAACTCCTTGATTTTCAAATTAAAGAGGATTTGTAATATAACCTGCTTCAGGAAAGGAGCCAATATATCTTGGTAGTGAGATTAAAAGATATATTACCAGGAGGAATAGGATTATTTTACAAAGGGAACTAGTCACCAACAGTGTAGAATATGAGATTTTAAAAAGTATTCCTGAAGGAAAAAGTGCCCTCCCCACCACCACCACCCACATTGTCTGGGTGTCCCTTCTTCTCTATTCTGGTCACTCCTCTCCCAAAACAATGGTAAGAAATCTGGCAGAGCTGGAAGCACTTTTGATCGTGGCTTATTTGGGGGCTTAGATTCATTTATTCATCTATTCATTCACTTGACCAATCTTCTTTTTTTTTTCATTTTTTTGAAATTTTATTTGAGCCAAAACTGAGGACAGTGGCCAGGAAGCATGGTCTCAAAAGCTTCGACCAATTCTTCTTAATTCTCATTATGTGTTGGGAACTGTTGTAGGTTTGGGGAATATAGTGATAAACAAGTAGACTAAATTACTATTTTATAGTTTACAAGACTCAATGGTTTTCAAAATGGGGGTCAATTATTTTGGCAAAAGAGGCAGGTAGGATATAAAAGACAAAGACCATTTAAAAATTAAAAAATATAAAAACAAGAGCAATACTGAGGAAAGTGAGGAGTTAAAAGGATTTATTTACATGGAAAACCCCGGGAAGCTTATGTGTCATTGGTGTGGGGCTCCCTTTAAAGGTCTGGGCCAGAATTCTGACATATAGTAGCTACTGGGCACCTG